ACATTAATGTTGGAATATTAATGCAGTTACTGATTTCAGCCAAGTTTCCTTTGTGCTCTCGGTTAAGCAGCAACAAAACGCTCTTTCTTACAGTCTGTCGAGCAATGCTCGGAAGCAGAGAACCCAGACCCTGTGAACTCAGACGTGCCCGTCACAAAGGCACAGGGTTCAGGCTCTCTCCAACAACTGAATGATCTGAAACAACTGCTGCTGTTAGTACAGTTAAAGAGTACTCTAAAGACATGTCAGTAAATTGAAAACGTGCTGGATAAGGGCAGTGTGGGGGTGCAGTGTTCAGCACCGCTGCCTCACAGCGCTGGGGCCCTGGGTTCAGTTCCAGACCTGGGATACTCTCTGTTTGTGTGTTAATTGGCTTCTGGGGAAACTGGCCCTGCATGCGTGTGCGTGTGCGTGTGCGTGTGCGCGGGCCCTGCAATGGACTGGCTTCTTGTCCAGGGTGTATCCTGCCTGAAACCCGTTACTTGCTGGGATAGGCTCTGGCAACCCGACGCCCCTGAACTGGATGAACTGGTTTGAAAACCAATAGATGAGCTGAATCAACTAAACTGCCTCTCTAGGGGTTGAACGGATCCAGTACTTACTTCTGTGGCTGTACCACAGACACGTCAAAATCCGTGGGAGTGAGAGATCTCACGTCCTTGTAAACCCGGTCTCGAAATCCAGGGAAAATGGTGTTGCCTCCTGTCAGGACAATGTTCTTAAAGAAGTGGGGCTGCATTTCTTGAGACAGGAAAAAAAAACATTTAAATTGCACGTTATAAAGTCTCCGATGACCAAAGTACACTTTCCACTTTCACTTTCAAAAGTAATTCATGTCACTGTCTGTGCTGTTTCAGTGCCCCCCAACTGCGTGTTCCTGTTACCTTCAGGCAGGTTCTGAACGGAGTAGACCAGGGCCTCCGGAATACCCATTTCCTGAATCCCAATATCCGAGGGGTGGAAGACCATCTCAGGAACAGCAAACCTCTCATTGGTCAGTCGGAGGATCTGCTCCCCAGTCTTGTACTTCCCACTGAAATTCATCTCTTCCCGGGGCTGAATTAGACAAAATGTTGGTCGGCTCAGCAATATTATTTAACAGTGAGTAGAAAGGCACACTTTGTTTCCAAGAAGGCACACATCGGTGGCAGAACACAATCTATATCTTCAATTTTGTCTGCTATTTATTTTTATATTTGAAGAAGAGATGCTTAACTGGCCAGGAATTGCTATCATATACAGTGAAAATGTCTTTACCTTGCAAAACCCCTTTTTGATGGTGCTGAAATCCGGGAGCACGTAGTCTCGCATCACAGTGTTTTCTTCTCCTTTTAACCTACAAGTAGCAACAACAAGTTTTGCTGCTGATTTGAAAGAAAACCACAAGGCCCATCAATTGCCTTTGCACAAAGAGTTGTGGGAGACTAGAACAAGCTACCCTGTCATGCTGTTTAAAGTAATGGGAATTCAAATGAAATATTCACTAGCAACCAAATAAGATAGACGAGCTGAATGGCCTCCTAGTGTTTATAGCCCATCTGATGTTGTTCTCCATGTTGGGCAGCCACTGAGCTTCAAAATCAACTAAAGATAGGCATGGGAAGAGAATTCATAATATGAGAACAGAGGCACTAAGACAGTTTCAAATGTTTACAACGCCGCCCTGTTGCAAAGGGAAATGAAAAAGAAGAAATCAGAGAAACTCACTGAGCCACTTCCATGTCCTTGTAAAAGTCTTGGGACACGTAGCACACATCTTCTTTCACCTGATTGATAACATAGGTCTCGTCCATTACATGCAGCTGCCTGTGTCACAAAGAAAGCAAGGCAATAGGACCATTTTTGGGAATGTGGATTTAAACGAAGAAAAAGCAGATTATTCTGTGGAGAAAATCTAGAATTAAAGAAAATAATATATTGTGTTATCCAAATAGAAAATCTTACTTTTAAATTATTTAAATGTTTTTAGAAATACAATTAATAGCTGTTATTTTTTTATCACCTACAAGTGAATAGACCTGACAGTAAAGCTCAACACTGTGTATTTAAGAGAAACACTTCAGAACCAAGAGAGGTAAGAGCAGAGAGTAGAGTAGTTTATTGCCATATGTACACGTACATTGGAAGTCTTAATGGCGCTGATCTCCGTGACATACACAGTACAACAGACAACACCACACACTGTAGACAACAGGAACAGTAAATACGTTGTGGAAAAATAAATAAATATGTAGTAGAGACACCAAAACAAAATGGCAGACCGTGTAAAAAGCGCGTAGTGCAGACGTGTGTTAAGGCCCTGCACTTAGCTGTTAAGGTTGTGCAGTGCCGTAGGGTAGAAGCTGTTCTTGAGTCTAGTGGTCTGTGCTTTAATAGTGCGCTACCGCTTGCCAGAGGGTAGGGGGGAGAACTCTTAAGGTAAGGCAATACCTTGAGAAGCAGCTTGAGAACATACAGTGAGAGCAGAGCAGTAATGTGCTTACAATACCTGTATGAAATGATCTCCTTTAGATGATTTGTCAGCAGCTTTCCACCGACATTTATTCTAAAACAAAAACCAAACAGCATGGTTCAGTTACTAGACATCCGCCCACCCGCCAGCTGTGTCCTGGTGCATCTCCCCTGGGGCCAGGAGAGAGTGTGCAGCGCACATCTTCGATGGACTCGGTGCGAGTTCCACCAGCGAAAATCTGAGTGCTCTTTACGACATATACATTAATAAAAGCAAGTAAATGTGCAAAGTACCTCTCTACATTAAATATGAATTAACCAGCTTACGTAACTTTTGGGTTCTACAGTAACAAGGTATGACCAACACTCATCTTGTAGAGGAAGCTACTGAATGCATTTAGAATTGAGCTTTGCCCTGTAGAGATTATCCTACTGGGTTTTTCCAGTTTTCACTTCATTACAGGGCTAAATCAAAGACGGTTCATTCAATAATGAAAACACACAAGGGAAAGATCCGTTGTTGTAACACGCCATTTGCTTGGACCACTGTCATAGTGGCAATTGCAGTCTGTGCAAATGACAAGCCTTTAAACTGATTTACTGCTGAACAGGTACTGTATATCTCATCCACTAGAGGCCCTGTACCCTCTTCTATACACAGGAGAGGATTAAGTTTTCAAATTTACCATTGCAAAAAAAATGGTAAAACTGTAATTTTCATTGGTCTGTCAGTGCAACTTTGAGCTTTCAGCTTTCAGGTATCTAAACCAGACCACTGACAATATTAGAACACTTCCAAATTAAAAAAATACTGCATGGAAGTTTTCTCCCTTCAGATCATTTCTCCTCTGAACCTGCAGAGAACCTCAGCTCAAGTTACACAAGTCGCAGTCGTGGCCTCTATCTTTCGGGAGAAGGAGGAAAAATCATCTTGATCCTGTTCTTCTTACGAATAAATTTGAAATCTCTGTAATAAACTTGTTTACCTGCATATTCCGTCTTTCATTTTCTTCCCCCGGCAGTAGGGCACAATGTGTGTGAAGGAGTAGCCACTGTCCACCACAATGCAGCACAGCTCCGAACTGTTCTCTTGGAAGTACTTGTGGGCACTCAGGGATCCAGCTTGACAGACAGAGAAAGTCAAAAAAGGTCAAAGAAATAAGCATATTGCAATGCCTCCCTAAAATAAAAATAAGGTAGTACAGACCTGAACAGCCAACATGCCCATGAATGACAAACAAAAGCTAACAACTTGAATTTAACACTCATTTCTAGATTTAGTCCAGCATCACATTCCTATTTACCACACAACACATCCTGACCAACCAGGATACCAATTCCTATATATGTCTTGGGAAAGACTGGATTAAAGTTACCCCCCGAGACTTTGAATACATTCTTGACATATAGGGGCTAACAACTCCAAAGCTAAGAGACACCAAAACTCACCGTTTATTCTGAGAGCAGCATGAAATTGATATTCTTCAAACAGTATTTCATTCATTGACTCCTGGATTGAAGTAAAATTAAAGTAGGGCTCTGTGATCACTATACTGGTATCAGCAAAATCCACCTAAAAAACAAATGAAATACATTTTACCAATAACTTCTCCTGCCTCTTTAATTCACACATGAAAAACAAAACTATCACTGTACACGTGAATCCACTATAGTCTTTCCTTAAAATGGTACATGCTACCATGTAACAAAAAAAATCATACGATTCTTACTTCTGATAATTTCTTATTTACAGATTTCAATTTTCAGAACATTTTTGTTCCAAACATGGGGCACAATGGGACACAATTCTTATTCAATTCCAACAACAGACTATGAACATTCAATTTTAATGATCGATTTTCCACTCGTCAAACATCATATATTGTGCATCAAAAATATTTAGAACTTAAAACTATAATGAATTCACAAAGTCATTATCAGGAAAAAAAAGTCATGTATTGTAACAGGCAGGTACAGCACCAGATGTGGCAGGGGTAAATTCATGAGGCAGATTAACACTAGTCAGGGTTGTTACTGATTAAATCCTATCAACAAGGCTGATCAATATGGGGTCTACTGTGAAATTCACATGCTAGTAACGTGAGTGGATATCACTGGAAGCAACACAAGCTGTACATCTGTGACACATGCTTTGCACCAGGTAGCAGATGATGTCGCATCTGTAGAGCCTGGGCCGGCACATGCTTGTTCCCTGGTCTCGGAGCCCTGGATGCCACACATTGTCCCTGCTCAGCCTGCAGACGTTCCATCCAGCTCGTTTTTGGCGAGTAGGATATCCATGGCATAACCGCACCGTTTCCACCTTGCCTGAAAGCTGC